CTGAAAATATCTAATTGCTGTTAAAAAAATGAGTCTGACATTAATGTACAGAACCAAGGAAGGTATAAACATTCAAAGGATAGTAATAATAGGAAAAAAACACCCTGATAGCAATTTTGAACTTCCACGACAATGAGGATGGACAGATTTTCAACATCTGACTCAGATTTAGGAAACTTTGTATCAGTATAACATGAAATATATTTTGCAGTTTTACTGTCTTCACATTAGGTTTCTGTCTTTTTTGATATCCTTCCCAGTTCTGGAGGGTATTTTATCAGTCTGTTTAGGATGACTCTTCTACAGCGAGATTGTAGTGCAGCATTTTGAAATTATATTGTTAAATATAATCTTTTAAGAAGTGTCTGACTTGTATACGAGTTGTGTGGAGGTTTCTATCTCTTGGCATTCTGCCCATTTCAGACAAAATGATGCAGTGTCTCAGCCCATGAGACTGAGAGAAGAGATAGGCATTTGTGTGGCAAATATGACAAATATTCCTAGGGAGCATTGATGGGAAAAACTGTACTTATAGTGGTTTTGGAAGTAGTTTTGCATTGTATGTTTAGTTAAATGAGGATTTCTCTTAGTCAAGAAACTTTCACAAATGTACATGTAAACAGGACTGTCATAGAGTTAGACATAAATGTGGGGGGTTTGGGGCTCAGTATCCTCATGTAGGGTAGAGGGTGTATATAATTGTATTTATTTTAAATCCATTACTATTTCTAAACAGCGTTTATAAAAAACATCACACTAAATGATATGTTGTCTCTTTTGACCTTGCCAGTAATGCTTTTCTCTTTGCCTTGCAAAGAAGCTTTTCCCTGTGGAATTAACCATCAACTCCTGAAAGGCAAAAGGAAGTAAAAGCCAAGCTGAAGTTGTTTGGGTGTGGGTTTTTTGTGGTGGCTTGGGTTTTTTTTTTGGGGGAGTGGGGGGGTATTATTTGGTTGTTGATTTTTTTTTTTTTCCTAGAAGACATATGTGACTGATTTTAGGAACAAAATATTATGTTCGATAAACTGGTATTTGATGATTTCAGGTTCTTTTCTCTGTGCTTCTTTATGATCTCAACATGCTGCATCTCTTATCTCCACATTCTCAAACCCTACTGGTGTGCATCAAAAAACTAGCACTAAAAAAAAAAAAAAGTTGATTACAGCTGCTTAGAATGCTGTGGGGAAAAAATGGTTGTAAAAACATGGTCCAAAGAAACACTTTCTATTATTATATTTCACAGAGCAGCAGTGGTTCTAGATCTGTTCACTTGGCCAGTTGCACTCTGAACGGTGTGACTGTGCTTTTTCAAGACAAGGCTATGCCAAATTAATTGTAGGTTTTGGTATTTTTTTCTTATTAAGTAAATCTCGCTGGGCCGCGCTTACTTGGATTAAATAGAAGCAAAAATAAAACTCACATTGGTTCAGGAAGTTTGTTTTGTGGCTTTTTGGATGAGAACATTCTGTCCCTTCTTTGCAAAACCAATACAAACAATCTCTTGGCACAGACGCTATTCTTTGTAGATACCTTACTTTAAATTATCCCTCTGTTATTTTGCAAGATTAAGTATCGCAGTTCCTATTTCCTGAATAAATTCTGCCTTGAATTGTGCTTTCACTTTGTAAAGTGAAATCTGCAGAATTCACGTCTGCAGAGGTAGTTGGGCAGTATAATTAAATCTTTTAAACTCAATTTGAGATCTGTTGATGATAAATAGTAATAGAAATGGTGATTATAAATTGTAGGATAGTAGATGCTGTTTATAAAGTAGCACTTATTCAGAATTGGTTATATCTCATTGTAGAAATGATGATGTAAATACAGGTTGTATGATTGTTGGTGTTACTTAAAAAAAGCTGTAGAAGTATGGTGGTGTAGTCAAACATCCAGAAATGTGAGGGACTTTTTTTATTGATAGTTGAGGAATTGTGTGTGAGTTTTATAGAGAGATGTCCTTTTCCCTTTTGCTTTTTTTTTTTTTTTTTTTTTTTTTTACTCTAAAAGAATACTGAGGACAGTGCATTTCATGTGCTTGTATTAGGCATTTCTCCTAATGTGAGAATCTGGCATGAGCTGCTGGAATAGCAAATAAGAGCAGGGAAAGAAATGTGTGCTGTGCAACCTTAATCAAACAAGGAGCAATCTCTAGTGCCCTCTTTAGATAATATATTGAGTGGAACCAATTAGGGGAGGATCTTAAGTAATGTTGATAGGTTATTGGACTGATTCTTGAAGTGGCTGTAACTCCTACTGATTTGGACTTTTACTAGAGGGGAAGTGAAAAAAATCTTGTACCTTGCAGGAGGCAGTACTACTTGTAGTAAGCAGTATTCCCAGGGAATGTTAAAAGCAGAACAAATCTCTGCTGTAACGGCTTTGAAGTGAGCTGAAGGCTTACACACATATTCAGATGCAATTTCTGAGAAAGAGATAAGTTTGTTTTTTCACACAAAAATCCCAACTTGTGAACTTTCAATTTACATCCATTTAATTCAAAGACTAAGGAGTTTTGATTGTCATGTCTCTTATCTTTCTACCAAAGACCTTTTCCTATAATTAAGAGGGCATCAATTTTTCTAATTGATGCCAAATCCAATCCAAGCCACCCACACAATTATTTCACCCTTCCCTCCCACTCCCATCATTATCTGATATTTTGTTTGCACAGTCATTTTTCATTAACTGTGTTCATGTCCAGGGCTGCAAACAGTAAAATCACATTAGCAAGGAGGAGCTCAGAGACTCATCAGTGAAATCTGGTTTTTTTCCTTTTCAGTTTTACACTGGCTTTCAGATAAGAATCCCGAAATGTGTCACAAACTTTGGAGATGAGGAGCTTGGAAACAATGAATGTGCTAGTGTTTGGTACTTTTTTTCTTGTCAGAATTCTTTAGTTCTTCCATAATACTGAGAAAAACTAAGTTCTGTGTAAGAAGCTACTGAGATCAGAAGTTACTGTTGGAAAAGAGGTGTAGTCTGTCCTCTTTTTTTTACATACATACATATACATATATATGTGTATATATATATGTACACAGGCAGACAAGCCTATTCCCCTGTCTTTATAGATGACCCTGTTTTATTTAGAGCTAACTTTTGAGCATGTCCTTTTTTCCTCTTTCCTCAGGTGGCTGTGTTGGCCTCCCTGCCCTTTTGAGAGAGAGGGACCTACACACAGAGGTCTCACTATGGTTGCTCCTGAAGGCTTTTTGGTCTATTGCTTTTTCAGTGTTTAACCTTGGTTCCTCTGTGAAATCAGTGGCAACCTTCTCATGGTGACCTAGAGTGTTGGCAAGCATTGGATGTGCTACTAGTCATACCTGGATTTTAGAGTGCTCCTCATCACCTGCACTCATATTTTATCAAGACGACTTTATCCATGTTTTGTAAGGGAGAAAATGGGCATGGAGGGGGTAGAGGGTCTTGCATAAGGCAGTGACCTGAGACTCATAGCTGGGAAATGAGGTATGGATGGAAGGCAGGCTATGCTTCATTAATGTGCTGTGTCCATGTGTTATAATTTCTTCAATGTGGGTTTCCTGGTCCGTAAATTATTAATTGCCTGTCTCCCCATAAAATATTAGAATGTTAAGTTTTTGACAGAATTAGATTAACAGATAAACCACCACTATAATCCGGTTATATTAGTAAGCAACTTGATATGGCTCAGTACATAAACTAGCTCAATATACTTCTTCCTGTATTATTATAATATGCAACTACTGGATCAATTCAGACTGAACAAATTGAGCTATTGCTACTTGCCCTGTTACTGGATTGACTTGTTACTACTTCTTCCTAATTCTAATTTTGTTCAAGTTGATCTGTATTTTTAAATTATTTTTAATTGAATTTATGATAAAATGGAAAACATCACTGCAGGGCTGACCCTGTAAGGGAGGGGAAATGGAAACTCTTATAGAAGTCACAGGATTGGGATAATGTCAAAATGATGTCCCAAAGAGAGTAGCTCATAAGAAAATTCAACTGTAAACAGGGCAGGTTTGGCAGAATTTGAAGGACTGGTCAGTGCCTGGGATGGTGCAGCTATGAAGCTGGAAGCCACTTATATGTACAACTAGGTTAGAACAAAGTGTTGGATGTGACTGAAAAAAAATGAAATAGAAAAGAACTAAGCTTGTCTGAATTCTTGAATAACAGATAGAAAATTGAGGGGTGGCAAAAATTTGAGGAGAAAATGGGAGAACACCATAATTGTCACCTTCCAAAAAAAAAAATATTAAAAAAATTAAAATTACAGTATTTGCTGTCTCTTTCCTCTGCCTCTTGTCTTAGTTTTCACGTTTTTCTTCCTTTCCTGCATCCTCCTTCCCCAAGCACCCCATGGGCTTCAGCCCCACTGGTTTGTGGGGAGTTTTTTGAGCTGTCCCCAGCTTCTCTCAATACAATCACATTTTTTCCTATCTCTTTCTTTGGGCCACGTGGCTGCTGGTACCTTGTGAGCTCAACCCTGGGCTGCTTGCCCCTTGGCCATGGCCAAGTTCTAGGAGCGCCGGGGCTGCAGGGGTGTGAGGTGAGGAAGAGGCTCCGCTCTCACCAATACCTCCATTCTTATGCTTGGCCAAGCTTTTACAAAGTGCGTTTATGAACATGTTGCACGCTTGTTCCCTTTGGGTTGGCAGCCTTCTCAGCTCTGCTGAGACTGTCAGGTCCATGGCTCTGTAAACTCCTCATCCCACCCTTGAGGAGGGATCCAGCCCCAAACTGTACTTGAAAGCAGGGTTTAGGGTGGAGGTTGCCTAGGTATCCTGACTATGAGGTTCTCATTAACTGTACAGAGAGTTCTTTTTGATATTACTGGTATCTAGAAAGTTCACACTTGACAGTAGGGGATGAACTTTAGTCAGAAATGTACTTTTTGTTCTCATGCAATAAGGGGAATCACATTTTAGGAAGTCAGTACTTAGGAAGTCTAACTGATTGTGTAATGCACAGTGGAATTGCAAAGCTGAACCTGTTTCTTTTCTATTTTTCAGTGACTTGTCCTGTTGGGCAACTGGCTTCTGAGTGATCCTGGAGACATGCCAGCCACTTGAGCTGAATCAAGGAGTGGCAGGGACAGCATCTACCTGGGCTGAAGTTTTAATCCTAGGCACGTGGCATTAGCATAAGTCATCACTGCTGAGTTTTATGTAAATGCATCTCCCCTCTCCCTCTCCCAGCACCTTTTTGCAAACTGTAAGTTTCTTGATGCAAAGACTCACCTGTCTTGCATGTTTTTCCAAGAGAGTAACTGACGAGTTTAGAGAATATGAGTGATCCAGGTTATCAGCTAATCTTAGAAATACTATTTGTTTCTATGTTTATGGTTTATTTTTTTCTTTCCCTCTGAATGAGTAACTTCAAATCTGTAGCAGTTGGTGTGTTGTACTAGAGGCATCAGCATGCCTTTTTTATCAGAGGAGGTTTTATACCCTCTGCCTTAGCGCTTCATAGCCTGGGAATACAATCTGTGGGGCTCTGATAACAGAAGTACTGACTGACTGCTGTCAGCATGAGGATGATTAAAAATGCATATGTCTCTGTGTGCGTGTGCTTGTTCACTCCCTTTCCAGCAGAATAGAAAATGAAACTCCCTGAAACCTTTTATGTAAGTGCATGGGTTTGGTATTTTTCCTGTTTAAATCTCTGTGTGGCTGTGTGCAGAAAAACTTCATCCGCAGCTTCCTTTAGAAGATACTCTGTAAAGAAAAGATTGTGCTTGTTTTGACCTCTGAAGTATGATTCTGTCTTCAGTTCAATACTAGACGCTCACTCTGCAAAAGATAATAGCTAGTAATTTTTTTTTTTTTTTTTTTTTTTTTTTTTTTTTTAGGTAGTTTCCAGTCAGTTTCTCCCATCTGTGATTTTCCTTGATAAAACAATGGCAATCTGCTTCTTTCAACAGCTGAAATGCTGTGATTCTTTGACAGCAAATGTGTGGAGTGCTGCCTTGCACCTTGTAACACCCTGTTTTATTTAAGGCTCTGTCATGCTGGGCTGATTGCTGTCTTCCCAGGAGTGTTGCACCAAGGAATTATTGATGAGATGCAGCCTGGTCTGCAAAGCACACGTTCACTATTAGAAACAACACATGTGCCCTTAGCTATTGCTAATCATTTAAACATCTCTGTGAAATTTGGGGAAAGTAGCCTCTCTGTATGTGGATGGAGTCCCATTAAAACGTTGGTACGATACAGCTCAGCGTCAGATACTGAATCTTCCTATGAATATCAGAGGTGAAGATTAGTGCTTTAAGCAGAACCGCTTGAAGTTATCTTCTTGAGAAGGTAGAAGGAGCTCCCTGTAAGGACAGTTGTGGGAAGATCAATACATGTCCCGGGCTCTTGTCTGACTCTTTCAGGTCTTTACTATGTTGTTAAGAGTGCTTATTGTAATAATTTGGACAAAAACCTGGAGGTCAGCGCCATACTGAGCTGTACGTGCTAACTTGATTAGCAATGGAGTTGTAAAATTACTCTGGCCTGAAAAATTATAATTCTGGTTCTGTGCTGGAGGAGGCAAAGGCAGAGCAGTACGTTATTTGAAGGTCCAGTAGTCTGTTAAACCAGGCTAAAACAAGTAGGTTTAATTAAGGGAAATTTTGGGAAAACAGATTTGGTGCTATTGTGAAGTATCCATTGTGGTTTTGCAAGTTGGAAGATACCTGTCCTTAAGTTCTCCTCATTCTCATTACTGCTGCTCTTCCCACTTCAGTTCAAGCATAACAGCTGTTGTCTTGAGAACTGCTGGATAGACCCAGTTCCTTTATCCTACCGAAGAACTCTGAACCCCAGCGCTTAAATAATAGAACAACTTTAGTGCTAACTCCAGCAGCTTTGGAGGAGAAAGGTTTTAAAATTGTTGCAATTGATTTTCTAGGTGCTTAGAAACAGAAAGCAGGGTAGTTACTGAAGTGGTGGGTTTTTTATTTAAAATTGTTATCACTTTGGTAGGTACACTTTTTTCACCAGTTAGTATTTTCAACTATTAGAAATTAGAAACTACAGATTTTCTAGAAGCCTGATAATTTCATGTAGATAAAATTACTCTCTTGCAGTGGCGGCATGTCTATGCCTTGGTCAGGACGGTCCCAAATTTAAGACTAGTTACTGTCTGTCTTACCTGCGGTCCTAGTCTGACTCACAAGCTTGAAAATGCCAGCATGGGGAAGAAGGCAAAGACCTTTGCTCCCCTGTAGTATGGGTGGAAAGCATCTGCATGTGGAGGAACTTCTTTTGAAACCCAAGATCATCAGGAAAGTACATTGAAAATTCACTGCACAAATAAAGATTGAGTCAGCCAACACCTGATTACATGATGACGTAAATCACCTTGTGCTATACATCCAATTTGAAGGGTTTGCCTATGGCTGCACTTAAACATGTGTGAGCTCAAATGCAGGTTTTTTTTCTATTTCTGAGAGTGCTGCAGTAATAGAACATAGATCTTCAAGCACAGGATATATGGAGAGTGTCCTACTCTCATGGTTAGATGACGTTTTGTACTTTGCTTTCAATGTTGCTCTATTGCTTTTTGCTACCTGCAAAAATACAGTGTGCTCTTCTGAAACTGTAGTTTGAATCTTTATCTGTAACCTGCATTTTATCATACTTTTTAAAATCCTTTTCTTTTTTTGGCATTTCTAGCTCTTCTTAATTATAGGCATCTTTTGGTGTGAGATAAGTATTTCACCAAAGTGATTGGCTAATACAACTAATGTAGAATCAGGTAAATGAACCTCCTGCCGCAGGTGTTTACATTGCTGGGATGCTGAAATGCAGTCAGAAATTGTAAAACATCATAAGCCTTCAAATGATTAATGGTCAACTATCAATTATTATTTTGAAACTTAAGAAAAATGTTAGCTTAAATAGTTGATATAAACAAACCATTCTTTGTTAGCATATGTTTTGCTTAGATCCATGGAATCACTGAAGTTAAATGGGTGTTTCTGGTGGTTTCACCACTGCAAAATTTAGCTTAATTTACTTCTTGATGAGAGTAAATGGGTCTTAACCTTTGAGACTTTGTGTTATCTGCTCCAGTCACCTGTGTTTTCCATTTAAAAAATAAAATTCCTCGGAACTATTGGGTTCTTTCAATCCTGCATTTCAGAATGTGAGGTTGAGGTTACCCTATCTTTTAAATCCAGAGATATGTAGGGCATTCTCATGTCAGGACCTGGCTGCTCAGATGGGAGATTTGCTTTTAGAAAAAATAGAGAAATCTGTGCATTTTGAGTATTGCCATTGTATGTGGTGTGGCTGCTGATGCCCACGTGTTCTGCTCTGCAGGCAAAGGATCAGTGTCATGAGTAAGAGCCGCATTGCTTGCTGAGTGTTGACAGCTTGTCATTACAGACAGTGTTTTTTCCTCCTGGCTTGTAGTTGCAAAGGTTTTGAAATGATCATAATCTCTTTTCTCAGGTGACTTGAGGAAGCATTGGGGTTTGTTCTTTCCATATTCAGGGAGTGAAGAGACACTCTTGTTTTTTGTTTGTGCTGAGTTTACAATTATTTTACTGTCTTGGTTGGATTTTCTTAACATATCCAAAATCGTTAAGCTACCACAGAGTGAAAGAGGGGGTGAAGAAAAGGAGTAGTGAGGGAAGAGGAAGGAAGAAGTGGTAGTTAAACAGGCTGGGGTTTTCTTGATTTTAGGTCGGGTGTTTGTTTTAGTGCAGTTATTCCTGGTACATAGGGAAAGGTGGGGTTTGTGTAATACAGTATAGCATTTGCTCAGCCATGTGGCAGGAATGAATTGAACATCAATGAGTTCTTCTCTGTCCTTTTAACTGGGGCTATAGAATTTTTTTGTTTAATGCTGAAGTATGGCCATCCTCTGCTCTGGGCATGCATGCTGGGCTGCTGGAAATTAAATTAGTAAATGAGATCCAATGACATAAAAACAAACCCAAGCAAACAAGCCCTCTGTAGGTGCACACAGAGAGCACCCTTCATCCTCTGTCATCAGAGGAACAGGGCTGTTTGAATTGGCTTCCACCTTTGTTTTGAGAGGTTGCTGTGGTGATGAATAATCTTTGTGGAGGGTGTGTGAGCAAGAGTGCGCATGTGCCTTGGGCTTGCATATAAAACAGTGCTGCTGAGCTCATGGCTTTTCACCCCCACATCAGAGCATATCCTGGCAATGTTCGGCTGCTCCCCAAAATGAGAAAATGAGTTAACAAAACTGTTATCTTAGAGCTGGTTATTGAGGTGGTATTAATCTACTGATCACTTCCTCACATTGCTTTCATACCAGGTAGCTGGAGACTGTGTGATGGCAAAGCAGTAGCTTTTCTCCATTGCATGGAAGGGGAGTTGCAGGGTAGCTGATACGCCTTATTTGCGCAAGCTTATGACACCTGAGCTTTGTCTTGTTACCTGGGCTTAACGAAGGATAGTAGGTAGAGAAACAGACTGACAAAGGTAGTCTGTAGAAGAAAGAGGAAAATGCTAGTATCCGTCAGAGCTTTCTTTTTTTTTTCCTTACCATTGCAAAGATTTCATTTTCTGTACTGAGGAAAAAACCTGGGGACCTGTCTGTGGGTTAGTATTGTTTCTTTTTACTTTACATTTATCAATAACTATTACAACAAATTATTATTAAATTTGCTGTAGCTTGAAATAGATGAGTGTTTTTCATATTAAGATACAAAAATCTGATGTAACAACTGCATATTGATACAAAAATGTGTGAAAATTAGAATATGTGTATGAATATTCCATGTGAGGCTTACGTGCTTTCCTCGTGAAGTAGTACTGGTACAAGTATAGTTTGATGGTACAGTTGTCTGAAGAAGTTACAGCACTTCTAGGTAAAGAATTGCCTTCAAGAAAGTATTGGGAACTTGATTTGTTTCTGCCCTGCTATAGAAAACCCTAGCAGGGGTTGACAAGAATGAATTGCCACCTGAGGCAGCTCAAGGAGAATTTTCTTCCCTGCATATTACCCTTGTCCCCAATGTTTGTGAAGCTGCCCCATATGTAACTTGTAGGAAGTACTCTGGGAAAAACAGTCACTCGGAGATAATCCAGTGGCCCTGACAAATAGAGTGAAGTTTTAAAATGTCGACTTTAGCTTCATAATTCCTGGGGGGGTATGGGGGTGTGTGTGTGTGAATTACTCAGTTCTGTGTC